AAAAAAAAAAAAAAAAAAGAGGTGTCTTTAAAGAGGGCAACACTAGGTTTATAGGAGCCCAGAGACAACACAAAATGGATTGATTTACACTTAATATATATAGTTGTCCCTCAATATCAGAGAGGGGTTAGTTCCAGGACTCCTGGCACATGCCAGAATCTGATGCTCAAGTCCCTCATGTAACATGGCATAGTATTTGTACATAACCTACACACATCCTCTATCTCTAGATTTCTTAAACCATCTCTAGATTTCTTATAGTAACTAACACAATGCACATACTATATAAATAGTTGTTATACTATATTGTTTAGGGAATATTAAACAAAAATGTCTATATATGTTCAGTACAAACACATTTTTTTCATGGCAGGGGGTACCAGGCATTGAACTCAGGGGTACTCAGCCACATCCCCCAGCCCTATTTTGTATTTTATTTAGAGACAGGGTCTCACTGAGTTGCTTAGTGCCTCACTTTTTGCTGAGGCTGGCTTTGAACTCGAGATCCTCCTGCCTCAGCTTCCTGAGCCTCTGGGATTACAGGGATGCAACACTATGCCTAGCTCACATATTTTTGCTCCACAGTTGGTTCAATCTGTATCCAATGGGACCTGTGGATACAGAGAGTCAACTGTGCTTACAGTTAGGAACTAAATGACCAAAGCACAAGAGAATAAGGTTCTCGTTTTGAATAAGGTCACCAGAAAATAAAAATAGTAGCTATAGAAGAATTTTCAAAGGAAAATTAAAACATATGAGGAACTACAGAAATCAGTATGATGGCTGGATGATTTTCATGGTTGTCAAGACAGAGCAGGAGATAAAAGGGTGGAGCCTCATTACATGGAAATAAAGAATGTGAAAAGACAACGTGGAGATGATGTGAAGGCTAGTCTTTGCCATTTTGATGATGAAGGACTGAAACAGCTCAGATAAAACTGAGAAAAAAGTACAACATACAGATCCTGTGTACACTACAGGAGGTAAAGGAGGCAGTTCTCAAAGCACCCGGTAGAGCAGAAAGCTGAAACCTCAGGGACAGGTGAGGCCCTGGGAAAATGTTCTAAAGAGACAGCGGAAGACCTCTTCCCAGAGGAGTGATCATGTGATCAAGACTGCTTGACAATATGTATAAATTTTTTTTGCACTATTTAAATGTATAAAATACTTAACTACATGAAAAGTGAAACACACACACACACACACACACACACACACACAAACTGCTTTATTGCGTGCTGTTTGGGAAATCCTTTCTTGCTTCAAGGTCGCAGATATATTCCCCAGTATTTATAGTTATGACCACTGCTTTTATCTGAGAGTAACAGGTTGGGCAAGTGAGAGGGTCACGGCTACCCCCAGGGGGCCTAGTTCTTCTGAGCCTTCAGAAATGCTTTGGTTATTTTGGACTTTGTTCTTCCATATAAATTTTAATATTTTATATCTAATAATTCTAAAATCTGCAGTGCTTCACATTTTGATTCTCTGCATTCTACTGGTTCCCACAAATGACTTCTTTCTTCCTCGGGGCCCACTAGCTTTCTGTTGTGAGCTTCCTTCTGGTACCCTTCACCTGAGAGTCCTGGGGGCTGAACAGAGATTCATTCCTTGAGAGAACATGTTTTCCCAGCTGCTGGAGGCCAGGGAAAGCCATAACAGGAGCTCCAGGGATGGATCGGTCCAAGCTCTGGTGCCCTGTCCTCATCTCCAAGACTCGCTGACCTGGGCCCCAGATGATGAGAACCTGCACATGCCTTCCAACACCTTGATGGCATATCCATATCCATTTTCTGCTAAGTGAGCACTTCTCTGGCTTCATCTCACTGCTAGATTTCTGTTTTCTCTTGGGCATTACAGATTTCCCTTACATTTTAAACAGTCCAGCCACGTGCTATCATAATTTACTAAATTTCTAGTCCTATTGCACTGACAAGGCCCTACAGGGGGTCTGGTTTACTGTTTTGCTGGGAGTGGAGATCCTAGTCTTGCATGAACTCACAGCAAGATTTCACCAACCATCCCTTAGGAACTTCTGTTAAGAACAGTACACCACATTCAGCATTTAATTTTCAGTCTTCATCCTAATCTCTCTGTATCATGTAACACAGCTGATACTCCTCCTTTACTTTAAAAAAATTAAAATAATACATTCATACAGCTCAAACTTAAAGAAAAGAAACAAAACAAAACAACCCAGAAAGAATGCCATATGCAGTGGCACATGCCTGTCATCCCAGCAGCTTGTGAGGCCAAGGCAGGAGGATGGCAAGTTCAAAGCCAGGCCAGGACCTCAGAGCTCAGACTGATCCATCCAAGCTCTTATTATTGACTTTCCCTAGGCTCACAACTTAGCAAGATCCTGTCTCAAAATTATGAATTAAAAAACAGGCTGGGGATGTGGTCCCATGGTTGAGCCAATGACCCTGGTTTCACCCCTTGTTTTTTAAAAAAAAAAAAAACAAAAACAAAGAATTCCCTCTTTCCAGTGCTGATCACCCACTAACTGCCTTCACAGGGCACTGGATGAGTTTGGTTCCCTGAGCACCTATCAGCAAGTCTGGTGAGTTACTGGTGTGCATGTATATTACCCTAAGAGAACTGACATCTTTAGTGTCCAAGTCTGCCTACCTTCCTGAGTGGCTTCCTAGCCAAGAATACAACATAATTGTGAGTCTATTATATTCACAAGTAGTATTTTAATATTTTATATATGTCTTTATACATTCATATCTGTATAGATAAGTATATATATATATATATATATTAAAAATTTCTTAATACATTTGTTCCTAGCCTTTTTTCCCCTCTTTTTTGTTGCTATTTTAAATAAAATAAATTCTTTTTTCTTATCTTCTGACTGGATGCTTTTCATTCAGGTGGAGCATGCATATGGTAACAATTTTGTGTCTCCCTTTTAAATTTTTATGCCAGTAACTTGCTTTATGGGCTTATTTTCTAATTCATTCAAAATAATATTAAATAATGGTAGTTATCAGAGACATAGTCATTGCTATGATTCAATAAGTCTATAATTCCTCATTAGGTATTAATGAGTTTGGATCAGACATTTTTTTACCTAGCCCAATTTTACTGTTTATTTTTCAATTAAAAAAAGATGTTAAGTTGGTCACAGTGGCACAAGCCTAATCCCAGAGACTCAGGAGGCTGAGGCAGGAGGATCACAAATTCAAAGCTAGCTTCAGCAAATTCCTGAGGATCTAAGCAATTTGGTGAGACTCTGTCTCGAAAAAATGAAAAAATAAATAAAAATAAAAGGGCTGGGGATGTGGGGATGTGAGAATGTGTCTCAGTGGTTAAGCACCCCTGGGTTCAATCCCTAATTTTAAAAGGGGGGAAAAATAGTTAAATTTTATCTTAATGCCTTTTGAATAGCCACAGAGAAAATTTTTTTCCAGAATATTTTAATACATAGCACATTATCATTTAATTTGCTACTAACTGTATATGCTAATGTTCTATTTGTGATTCTGACACTCGTATGTAAATAAAAATGACACAGACCAGGGAGTCAGTAAAGCTTCTGAAGGACCAGATGCCAAGCACTTCAAAGTTCATGGGCAACACAGGGTTTCTGTCCCACCTCCTCTACTATAAACTTTTTAAAATGTAAAAGCCATCCTGAGCTCCTGTTTCTGCTGGGTTTACTGAACATTTCTTAGTGTTCCATTTTAATTGATCTATTGGCTTGGGCTATATTTCTTTGTATTTATTAAAAGGCTATTGTAGGGATGACAACACACACCCAACCACTTAGTCTACTCTGAGTTAACATTTCACCACAGCAAGTAAAGTGCAGAAACCTTACAACATACAGATCCTGTGTGCACCACTCTGTTGTGACCAGATACATCACCTCCGCAGACGTAGACATTGATGATCTCATTGCACAGTGATATGGTTTTCATTGTCAAGTCCTAAACTTTCCTTTCCTTTTGTGTGTGTGTGTGTGTGTGTATGTATATAGCTAGGGATTGAATCCAAGACCTGGCACATACTAGGCAAGCACTCTACCACTAAGCCACATCCCCAGCCCAACAGCCATAAATATTTTAAAGAACTTATAAGAACAACTGCGTTTTATATTTACACAGATATTTATCATTACCATTGCTTTTCCTTCATTTCAGGTTTCCCTCTAGTATCAATTACCTTCATCCTGAAATTTTAGGATTTTTAGAATGACTAGGGAGAATTTTTCTTAGTTTTCCTTCATTTCCATCATTCTTGAAATATATTTCACTGGATCTAGATCCTGGGTTGATGGTTCTTTTTGTTTTGCACTATAAAGATGTTATTTCATTGTCCTCTGTCTATGGCTTCTGATGAAAAATCTATAGCCATTCAAACCATTCTTTTCCTGCCTGTGAAGTGCTGGTTTTCTCTGGCACCTTCAAGGTATCTGACTTGTCTTTGGTTTGGGTGTTCTGACTATGCTGCTGCGCCTGGGCCTTTTTGGCCACCTCTCTGTTACCCCCACCACTGCTCTCTGGTGCTTCCTGCCACACACGTGCTGTCTCCCTGCTGCATTCACACACATCAAGCAAACTCTCACCCCAGAGCCTGGGGCCAGCTGTTCCCTCTGCCTGCAGCCCCCAGAGTCTGGGGACTTGCTTCCTGACTTCCCCCAACTGTCTGCTCAACTGCTGATCTCTGTAATGGCATTCTCCTGCCACCATCTCCTGTCATTGCTTCAAGAGCCTTCATTGTCTTGTCGCTGCTCAACACATACATCTGTTTAGTCATGTCCTCCTGCTAGCTTGTGTGGTTGACAAGTTCAGGGACACTGTACTCACTACCATGTCCCCAATGCCAAAAACGTGAGGGGCACATAGTGGGTCTTCAAAGATTATCTGCAGAATGAATGCTTTAATTAGTTAATGCCTGGAGGTGGGAATCACATAGAAAAGCATTCATGAAAATGGAGGGAAAATGAATTCTAGAGAAGCTAAGAAAGAAGGTGTCAGATGTGGCAGGTGGGGTTTAGATTCTAGGTGTCAGAATAGTTAATGCCCCTAAAAGTTATGCACCAGGGGAAAGCGTCTGTATTTACGAGTGGCAGATGGAAGAGTGCCCTGGGTTAACCAGGCCATTGTGGCCTGCGGTTCACTTACTTCCAAACACCTAAGGTCTTTATCTAAGTTTCTGAGACACAGTCCAAAGGTTCCAACCCTAGAACTGACTCCCACTGGTTTCTTTTCTTGCCTGGTAACACTCACTTGGATGAGCCTGGCCTGGATGCTCTCCCTCTAATGTCCATGGATCTTCTCCTTGCTCCAACCTGAGGATCACGTCTGGTTTGGTGAGACAATATCCTGTCATGAGACAGAGGTAGGACGTCTGAGGGCTGCCTGGACATGGCGGCCCTGCAAGAACAGGAGGGTGCAGCTTCGGAAGTCCTACAAAAAGGTGCCTATTTGAAGCTTTCACTGGGGAGGTAAGGACACAACGGTTCTGGCCATGACCACCTTTGACCCCAGAAACACACACAAAAATATCACCAAGCCCCACCAAGGGCTCTGACATTTTGGCAGAGCCACAAACTAAAGGAACAAATATACACTCTTGGGCATTGCTGGGGGAAAACTCCTCACCCACGAAGACCAGGTGGCTGTAGTTCTCCAGCGTCACATCCCGGTACAGGATCCTCTGAGTACTGCTCAGGCATAGCCACTCGTCCGGGCTGAAATTCACAGTCACATCATCGAATGACACAGATCCCTGGACGGCACTTTCCTGGTCAATCTGGTGTGATCAGTATTGGGTCACATGAAAGAGATATGTGGAAAATAATTCTCAGCACATTTACTTTGAGAGTCTACCTTGAAACATTATGTAGGTTGCTAATTCCATATTTTATTCTGTTTATCTCTTTATTGGGGAATAAAGAGATAGCATGATAGAAATACCCAGTCAGTGTACTTATTAACTCAAAAATTAAGATCCCACCATGTGTCTGAAACTCTTCTAGCTTCACAAGAATATTAAGTTAAATAAATCTTTTTTCCCTCCTGCCTTTAAGGAGCTTAAATTTTAGCAAGGAGTCATATTATATGTATGAACATTTAACTTGTTCCAAGGAATTACAAGAGCTATGCTACAATCATTTACTACCAGTGTGGATGCTGGGCACAGTGGCACATGCCTATAATCCCAGATACTTGGGAGGCTGAGGCAGGAGGAACACTAGTTGAAGGCCAATCTGGGCAACTCAGGAAGACTGTCTCAAAGTGTGGAGTGGGGTTTGGAGGTACAAGATATATAGCTCAGAGGTAGAATACCAATACAAAATAATCAGTGTCAAATAGCAGTAGAAAATATGGTCCTGTTTTATATAATCAGGCTGGGTTTCAGTGCATGGGACATCATTGCTAATGTGGCACAATTATGAACAAAGATGGAGGCAAAAAAAAACAGAGCAGATTGAAGCACAGAGCAGGATAAAGGAGAGCAGCCGAGGCTGGGAGAGGCTGAGAGCCATAAGGGTCCTTGATGCAGCCACTAGGTGCCCACACCAAAGAGACCCCCACCATAACTGTAACACATAAGCCTCTATCCTGCCAACAAGAGGTAGGCAAAGAATGTCAGCAGGATTTCTGCAGAGAACTCATGGTGGTTGGCAGCTTCCTCTGTCCTATAAAAGCCAGATTTGCAACTAGATGGTGTCATAGACTCTGCCTCAGGAAAGGGTGCGATGCAAAGGTCAGAGAGCTTGTTGTTGTGCAAAGTTCCTGTTTCTGTCTTCCTTAATAAAAACTCGTGAAACCTCTGTCTGACCTAAGAATACCAGATGTACCCGCCCACCATCATGCAATCACCACACTGAGTATAAATCTAAAGAATTTCCAAACCTGGGAGCCAGAGATTTTTAGATATTAGCCCCTCTGGACCACTGCGGCTTAAATAAGCCTGCCTCCTGAAAATTCCTGAGTGTCCAGCCTCATCTGTCCTGCATCAATCTGGACCCATCAGCACAGCTTAGCACACTCCAAAATCCTAGGCCACCCAAGCAATAAAATGTTGAGCATCCCCAATTTATTTATATTTAAGTAAACAGTACACATCCTGCCCATGCACACAATAATAAGCCTGATTTGCCTCTTTTTCTAGTTAATCGTTCATTGTAGCAATCTACTGTTTTCTTCCCATGTGTCAGTGGTGTGTCCTGCCTAGGAGGTAGGTGTGACTGCTGAGGACAGTGAGAAGCCAGCTGACCACAAAAGCAATGACAGGCCCCAGGAGAAGCTTCACATTTTACAAGAAATGATACTGCTGCAGTAACGTCCAGCGGGACTGTCTGCTACAGGGAAATGTCCTTCACTGGCACCTACATGAAGCCACCAGCTGCAGGTGGTGACTGAGCACTTGAAATGTGGGAAACATGGCTGAGGAAGTGAATCATTAATTTTACATTTTTCTTTTCTTGTAATTAATTTAAATAAAATGTAAATAGCTACATCTAGCTGGTGTCCACCACCCGGTCAACAGTATAAAGAGAAATATAGAGTAGGAAGAGAAAAATGAAAGGAATAAGAGACCCACACGAAATTTCTAGACACACACACAAATGTTGAAACAAAAAACGGATCAAAAAATCAGATATCAAAAAGATCAGCTAAACCAAAAGTCACAGCAACAGAAACTTCAACAAAAAGAAGCACCTAAGAAAAACGAGAATGAAAATCAAATGACAGAGCACGACCACCCCGTGGGACCTCATCAGACAGGCCACAGGGGTCACTGGAGATCCAGAAGTTGGGGTGCTGTGGGGGGGGCAGACAGAAAATGTATTTAAAGAAATTAAAGCCAAAACTTTTCCAAATTAAAGAAAACTATAAATACATAGGTATAGGAAGTTCAAAGAACCCTGAAGAGAACAAATACAACTAAAAATACTCTAAGGTGAGCACAATGAAACTGCTGAAAATCAGGGATGGAAAACTTAGACACGGAAGAGAAAGTGCTGCTTTCTCTTTCCTGTCTTTTTTGTTTGTTTGTTTGTTTGTTTGTTTGTTTGTTTGAAGACAGGAACAACAGCAGACCTCCCTCCAGAAACAAGAAACTGCTCAAGACTAGAGAAGGACATTTAAAGTGCTAACAAAGAAGAAGGAGAAAAAATATAACACTGACCTAGAATTCAGTATCAAGCAAAAAATATCTTGCCAAAAAAGAAGACAAAATAAACACTTTTACATACAAGCAAAAGCGAGAGCATCTGTCACCACCAGACCTGTAACACAGGAAATGTTGAAGGAATTCAGAAGAAAAGGGTACCAGAGGAAAATTCAGATCTTCACAAAGAGATGAAGCAAACCGAAAGGCTACACATATGTGTAAATATAAAAGACATGCCCCTCCGATTTTTGGATTTTCAAGAAGATATTTAGCAACACAAGCAAATAATAATAATGCCAATAAACTCTAGGAATTAAGGACATGGCTACAATACAAAGGCAAGAAAGAGGAAATTAAAGTATAGGTACTGCTTAAAGGGAAAGTGAGAAATCAAATACTGTACTCCCTGGAGCAACTACCAAATAAAATAAAGAGGTATCCCTAAAATGCCTATGGGAGCGAGAAAAGGAAACCCTAAGGGTGCTGAAGACAATGAGGAATAAATTTTTAAAAAGGAAATGGAAAGTAAAACAGACTGTAAGATGCTAACTATAAACTCACAGTGCCAAGAACACTAACTGTAAAAGTTAGGCTTCTGTTAAGGGCGGGGATCATTAGAATAATAAAAACACAAAAGCCAACTACAGACTGTCCACAAGAAACCCACTTTACATATGAAAACAAAGAAAAAAAACTTAAAAGGTTGGGGAAATACACAAATCAAAAGAAAGCTGCAGGGGATATAGCTCAGTTGGTAGAGTGCTTGCCTCTCAGGCACAAGTCCGTGGGTTCAACCCCCAGCACCACACACCCCCAGCGATTCAGGAGTCTGAGGCAGGAGGATCACAAGTTCAAAGCCAGCCTCAGCAACAGCGAGGTACTAGGCAACTCAGGGAGACCGTGTCACTGAATAAAATACAAAATAGGGCTGGGGATGTGGCTCAGTGGTCAGTGCCCTGAGTTTAATCCCTGGTGCCCAAAAAAGAAAAGAAAAAGAAAAAAGAAAGCTGCAGTAACATATTCTCATCAGCCTAAAGAGAAGTCAATGTGAGAAACTCTCTAGGTGTAAGAGGGACATAGAGGTCAATTCAGCATGTGATGTAACAATGCTACATGTGTTTGGACCTAAAAACAAAGAAAGGCTGTGCCCAACAACCCAGGGACCTGTCATAGGCCTTACCTCCAGAAGATTCCACAACTTCCCAAACACTGTGGAATCTTCTGGAGTGAGATCAAGCCTTTATCATCTGGATGATTGACATCCAAGCTAAAGCACCCTATTATTTTCTCAATGCAGAAAAAGAATCTGACAAAACTCAACATTGATTCCTAATTAAAAAACAAAAACAGCAACAACAATAACAACAACAACAACAAAACTGTCAGCAAATGGTATAAGAAAAAAAATGGTCACTTTCTCAAAGTGGTAAAAAGGCATCTATGAAAATCTATATCTGCCATCACAGAAAAAAATTAAATACTCAGTCCTGTACCCTTAAGATTAAAAATAAAAGCAAAAGGCCAGGCAATGGTGGCACACACCTGTAATCCCAGCCACCTGGGTGGCTGAGGCAGGAGGATCACAAATTCAATGCCAGGCTAGACAACTTAGCAAGAACCTGTCTCTAAAAAGCGAAAAAGTCTGGGGAGCACAAATCTTAACATAAAAATAAAGACCATAAAACTGCTAGAAGAAAACATGAGAGAAAATTCAATGGCCTGGCTCTGGCAAAGATTTCTTAAATATAGTGATTGGGGGGGGGGGACATTAACTATCAATAATCAAAACAATGTATCAAACTGTATACCATCAAAATGAAAACCTTTGCTGTTTAAAAAATACTGATTATTAGATATGGAAAATGACAAACCCCAAACTAATATAGTCAGAGAAAAGCAGCACATTGGTGGCACTGATTCTTTCCCAGTGACAGAACAATCCCTAGAGAGAAAGCCAAAGCATTTATCCTTCCCCAATAAATCTTTTCCCAGTGACAGTGACAATGGGATCCTGAAGGGAAAGAGAGAAGCTCTGAATGCTGACCCCAGACCCCTCATTCTTCTCTAAGTAAGAATGTTGCCCAATAAAAACAAATTTTCAAATTCTCATAATCCTGTTTCCTGAGCACCCAAAACTGACCATTAACCCCAGACTCCCTCCCATTTCACCCAGTAAAACAGACCCCAAATTCCTAAGTGTCCCAAACTGACAAGCTTGTTCAGTCATATCTCAGTATAGGAGCCCAGTCCCTTTCATTGTCCAGTGGCTCATTTTCTTCCAGGAGAGTGAGTCCACCGGCGTCGACCTGTTCCTGCATGAAACCTTGTCCCTGAATAAACAGCTGATCCGTGAAGTTTGCATCTGGCCCAGTCCTTTTGTGCTAACACTTATAAGATAAAAAGGCAAGCCACAAACAAGGAGAAATATTTTCAAAAATGCTATCTAGTTGGGTATGGTGGTGCACCCCTGTAATCCCAGTGACTTGGGAGGCTGACACAGGAGAATCACAAATTCAAGGCCAGCCTCAGAAACTTAGCAAGACCCTAAGTAACTTAGTGAGACCCTGTCTCAAAATAAAAAAGGGCTGAGGATGTGGCTCAGTAGTTTAACACTTCTGGGTTCAATTCCCATACTCTCCAAATGTGTGTGTGTGTGTGTGTGTGTGTGTGTGTGTGTGTGTGTGTAACATATACAGGAAATATGATGACCAAATTAGATTGATTCCAAGAATGCAAGATTGGATTAATATTCGAAATGTGATCAATGAAATTAAGCTTAGAGAATAAAGGAAAAAGCACATAATCTACAAGGGAGCACTAGATAAAATTGAACACCCATTCATGATAAAACCTTAACAAATTAAGACACTGCCTTAATCTGATTAAACAACCAATATACTTAATGATGAAATATGGAAAATTCTTCCCCAGACACTAAGAAGGAGACAACAATTTCAGCTTTAATTTGTAAGTCAACCACACAACCAGCACGCTGGCTTCATACAAGAGGTTCGTAGCATAGAAGTTAACTAGTGAGATCAAAATAAACATACAAGACTCAATTACCTTTTTCTTTGACCAGGTCTGAGATGGCCCTCCCTCTGGCTCCCGCCTCGAACCACCCGGTGGGGAAGCAAGGCTTACTCAGGACTAGCAGGAGAGAGAGGCAGGGCACGCCAGGGAGTGGCCTTTATTGAGGTACAAGAAATTCAGGGGAAAATTCCATCCAATGAAGGTCGAGGGGGACAGCATTCCAAGGTCAGGATCAGTGACTGGTCTCAGGGTCAATGGTCAGTCACACCCCCACACCGACAGGCTCTCGCACCTGGAGAGGGTGGGGATTAGCTCCGACACAGTTTGGCCAGAACTCCTCACACCCAATCAGGGAGGTTGCCCAATCACTTGCGAGAATGGCTTCCTACATGTAAGGTAAAACAATAAGGATTCCAGAAGAAACAAATACTTTTAGAACCTTGGGATAGGAAGCTACTTTATAAACAGGATGCAAAAAAGACCTACTCCTAAAGGAAAAGAAAGCCAGACCCCATTAAAATTAGGAATTTCTGTTAATCAAGTCAACATTAAGAAAGTAAAGAGTCAAGAATTTTCTCTAGTACTGTGTGTCTTAGTCTGTCTCCTGCTGTGAGAATCCCTGGACTGGGTAACTGTGAAGAATAGAGATTTATTCAACTAGTGGTTCTGCAGTCTGGTGAGGGCCTCCTAAAACCTCTTAACACTGTTATAATGGCAATTAAATTTCAGCCCACATTCTGGAGGGAACATTCAAACCATATATAAATGACAAAGCACACCTCTTAGGATTACATAGAGAGTTAATTTATACATTACTTTTATATTATACATTAATAATTACATTATACATTAATTTATACATACTGTCAGAAAAACGGGCAAAAGATATGAACAGGAGCCTCACAATAAGGGTATTCAAATGACTCAGACTGAGGGAAGGATGCTGAACACACTAATGAAAACTGCACCCTGGAAGACCAAAACAGCACTCAGAGATGGGAATGGAGAGCCCAAATCTCCTGGGTGGCCACTCGGCTCAGATAGGGCATCCATTCAGTAAGAGTCTGCTTTCAAACAAGATCAAGCTGACCACATGTTTAGTCCACCCACAAGTGTGTAATGAGCACAGAGGACGCAGCCCAGGGAGAGGACCTTCAGAACGCTCTCTACTGAGTCCGGTATGCTTTGGCCCCCAATATGATCTGAGTTCTACCCTCCACTTAGAACAAAGAACAATCACAGGCAACAGACAGGTTTATTACAGGGTTCTCCACTTCATAAAGTCCTTTAAGCACTTCAAAGCAGGAAGTCCTGCCCAGGAAGACCTGTCCCAGGAGTAACTGTTTGGTGTCTGCTGAATACCATATGCAGATTAGGATGATGCTGAACTTCCATGACTGTGGGATCATGACCTACAAAGATCTACTAGTGCCTTGCCTGTTCATCACTGGCCACTCGCTCACCTGACCCTGAAGTGGCTTTTTTAAATGTTCATCTTAATTTACAAACACTTATAAAATATCATACCAAAAACACTTATAAAAGCCATAAAATCTCACAGCAGCTAAATAGGAAGAAAAGAAACAATTCACCTGAAATTTGTTCATTTTCTGATATTCCTCTAAGAGCTCAGAAACCTGTTCTTCAAAGAGCAAACCTGGAAGAGGAGGAAAGAGGAAAAGAATGAGATCTGTCAGGGCTACACTTGCTAAGTTCTCCCTAAAACCCCTACACACCAGCTTGTGACCTTTGATTCTGCACAAGGACAGCAGGGAAACAACCCCACGTCCCTTTGCCACTCCAATCTGATTTCATGAAGCTTAATTAAGCCTCTAATGCTTATCAGTGCATGTCCCCTCTCACTAATACATATTTGAAACAGAATTGATTGCAAAAGGCCAGCATCTCAGAAGATGACCTACCACACCTACATGAAAACTGAGATGCAGTTTGGGGGTAGGCAGCTTCAAGGCTGTACTTTTACTATGAATAATGTTAATACTCAAACACAAGAATCCACATAAAGTTTTTGGGGAAAGGTTAGGTGTTATAAGAATAGATCTTTTATAAAACTGTCAGTTCTAATTTGACTGTAGGTGGCTAGGGACATAGCTCAGTTGGTAGAGTGCCTGCCTCCCATACACGAGGCCCTGGGTTCAATCCCTAGCAACACACACACACACACACACACACACACACTCTCTCTCTCTCTCTCTCTCTCACACACACACACAAAAGTAAATCTAATTTGACTGTAGTTTCCCAAAAGGATCTTTTAATTGCAACATATTTCAATTTTACTCTGTGGATAGCATTGGCGGACTCAGACTTCTATTCAGGAGCTACTAATCTGAAACAAATCATTTCCCATTTGAGGTCTGGCCCCACCCACACACACATTATTTTTTCTTTCCTTCTTTCAAAATAGAGAAAATTGGATAGCCTGGCAAACCTTCCCTAGGCTACTCCTCCTCTGACCCCATAAGGTCAAGAAAGACTAAGTCCACCACATCTCTGGTGCCAGACACGGTGATGGTGGTTAACAGCTGCCTGGCTTCTGTAAAGAATTAGAGACGAATAAAGGTGGGGGCGAGGGGGATGCTGTTTAGGGTAAGCTAAAGATAGAAGCTTCCCCTGAGCATCCTGCCAAAGAGTGAGGTGGCCTTTCTCGCACTATCTGGCCCTGGCCACCACTCAGTCCTGGCTCCCTTCTGTCTGCCAAATGACTCACAGTCTTTAATGGCTTCCGAACGTGGTGAAATCACTCAAGCCTCATCCCTTTTCTAGGTCTCTTCGGCCCCTTCTCAGAAACTCTTGACAGATCTCGGGTCAGAGGTTTGGGAGGGCGGGGGTGCATGTCATACCTGTCCCTGAAGCACCCTCCTCATCGCAGTAATTACTTTGTTCCAGCAGGGTCCAGGGCGCAAACTCACTTTGGCTGGAACTGTCCCAGGGGCCCCAGATGTGTTTAAGAATACAGTTCCAGAAACCTAAGGCCGTAGAGTCCACAAACACAAAGCAGGACCGTTAGGGACAAAGCCAGGCTGGCCACGTCCCAGGGCTGGACGCCCTGGGCAGTGCAGAAGCGCAGCAGTCCACCAGTCAGACGCTTCTACCGAACAGCGCCGGGAAGGCGCAGGACTAGTGCAAAGCAGCCTGGAGAGCCAGGAAGCCCGAGCGCCGCAGATGCAACAGCCGAGACGCGGCCGCCAGCGCTGTACAGGGACGCCGGCTGCCCGAGCGCGGGCTCTGCCAGCCTGTCAACTCCTGCCCCGCAGCGCGCGGCGCGGACACCTGTTCCACCTCACCTGCCCGCCGCGGGCGGGAATCCTCAGCTGCTGGCCGCCGGCTCCAAGCGTGCGGACTTGGAGCGCGTCGCCTCCGCAGCGGCCGCGGACTGAGACCCCCACCGCGAGAGCCCCTCCGCGCGCGCCGGGCCTCCCGCGACCCTACGAGGGACCCACCGCCCCGCTAGGGAAGGCTGATATCCCGCGCTCCGCGCGTGCCCTCCCCACAGCCTCAGAGGCTCACCCGCTGCCCCGCGCGCGACCGCGTCCCACCAGGCCGTTACCCTGAGGAGCAAGCGCCTGCGCACAGAACCCGACCCGCTCCAGCAGGGCCCGGTGCGGAAGGCTCCTCCCATGGGCGGGGCCAGTGCAGGCCCGCCCCTCTTTGCCAGTCTGGGCGGGGTCTCTGCACACCCCCTGCTCCCGCTCTTCACCCCTTTTCATTGCTGCTCTCACATCTACAAGATTACCTCATCCCTCACACCCCAGTTCACCCCAGCCCTCTCCACATCCTGACACCCCCCATCCCTTCACCCTACATCCTACATCCTACATCCTCTCCACCCTCTCCCATTCCCCCAGGTCCCTTCCCTCCTCTCCTTCCTTTGCCCCACATCACCTCCACCCCGCTCCCCTCTGCCTCGTCCGCTCGTCTCCCTGCAGCCTCCAAGCTTGGGAGAGATTCAGGAATGCAGGTGAAAATGTAATCACATTAACCCAGCCAAGTAATTATTTTTAAATGTGATTGAAAAAGAAAGGGAAGACAAATTTCATAAAGCAATACATGAAAATTGAAGGTGTATCCAAAGACCCTCAAACGAAAAGAAGAAAGAGAGGGCTGAGGATGCGCTCGCCTGGCATGCGCGGGGCACTGGGTTAGATCCTCATCACCACATAAAAATAAAGATGTTGGGGTCCACCGAAAACTAAAAATAAATATTAAAAAATCTCTCTCTCTCTCTCTCTCTCTCTCTCTCTCTCTCTCTCTCTCTCTCTCTCTCAAAAGAAGAAGGAGGAAGAGAAGGAGAAAGAGGGTGTTGTTACATAGTAATCTCTCTCTTTTTTTTAAGAGAGAGTGAGAGAGGGGGGAGAGAGAGAGAATTTTAATATTTATTTTTTAATCATCGGCTGACACAACATCCTTGCCGCGCCAACACAACATCCTTGTTTTGTACATCCTTGTTTTGTACGTAGTGCTGAGGATCGAACCCGGGGCGCACGCATGCCAGGCGAGCGCGCCACCGCTTGAGCCACATCCCCAGCCCCAAGAAAGAGGGTGTTGTCACATATTCTCACGGACAGAGCAGTATTGACCCGTCTTAGGCACGCACCTGACATTTTAAACATTAAATAAGTAAACAAAGGATCCTAAGAAGCCCAAGAGGTTTGGGACAAAGGCGAACTGGAAGGACCTCTAGTGGGAAAGTTCACCTTCACTAACCGGTTTGCACTCTCAACACTGTTAAGGCTAAATCCTGGGGTCATACTTTAGAGAAAAATTTACTTGGATCCCACATTTTAAAGTTCAAAAGTAAATTTCTAAAACAAAAGTGAATTTTATAATATAACATCCATCGATGGGGATGACACCAGAATGAGAAATCATTAGGCCAAAACGGATTTTTATTTTAGAAAATTAAACATTTACCTTCCGTTTAAAAAAACGGAACAAAGTTTAGAGACAAACTACGAAAGGTTCTTTGTAACACACATGAGAAGCAAAGACTTGATCACCTGAATTTATAAATAGCTCTTATAAATCAATGAAAAGGTAAGCATTATCATCTAGCTCACTAGTGAGAGAAATGGAAAGGAATAAAAGATAAAATGCAAATAAACAATAAATATATGAGAAAGTTCATCATGACAAAGAAAAAAATATTTACCAAATATTTTTGGAAAGTAAAATTTTAAAGAGAATTAAAATTATAGTAATATTCAGGGTAGGTACAGATTTAAAGAAATATTCACTTCCCTGGTGACAATTATAAGGGTAATTTTCACAAACTTTCTGGAATCTACTCTATATCAATAATAAAAACATCCTTTAACCTAGCAATTCAACTTCTAGGAGTGGATATTAATGAAATAATTGTCCAAAGATGTGTGTAAGAATCTTGTTCACAGTTTAATGACAGAAAAAAAAAGGAACTTAAATTTAGACAATTTATCTGGGTGTGGTGGAGCATGCTTGTAATTCCAGCAACTCTGGAGGCTGGACCAGGAGGATGGCAAGTTCAGAGCCAGTTTCAGAAACTTAATGATGCCTAAGCAACTTACCCAGAACTTCATTTCAAAATAAAAAGGGCGTGGGTGTGGTTCAGCAGTCAAGTACCCCTGGATTCAATCCTTGGTACCAAAAAGAAAAAAAAATTAGACAATTTAAATGTTTAATCACATGAATATGTAAAAATAAATTGTGGAAGGTAATTCAAAATGATAACGCAAACTAAACTAACTCATCTGTAAGAAAGTTCATAATCTAATTTGGAATCATTATTCAACCAAAGACATAGATAGAACCCCAAGGAGCTGGGGTTGTGGCTCAGTGGTAAAATGCTTGCCTTGAACATGTCAGGCCCTAGGTTAAATCCTCAGCACCACATAAAAATAAATAAATAAAGGTATTGTGTCCTACAACTAAAAAATAAATATTAAAAAGATAGAATTTCATTTTTAAAAAATTGAACATATGCTTTTTAGAGAATAAAAGTAGATAACGTGTAAAAAAAAAACAAAACAGTAAATAGGCCAAGTGCGATGAAACTCACCTGTAATCCCAGAGACTGGGAGACTGAAGCAAAAGGATTACCAGTTCAAAGTCAGCCTCAGAAATTTAGCAAGAACCCTAAAGGACTTAATTTCCATACATCAACTCAAAGGGTACCACACTGCAGCAATGTCAGCTTAGATTTTTTTTTTTTTTGTACCAGGGATTGAACCCAGGAGGCGCTTACCCACTGAGCCATATCCCCAGCCCTTTTTTGTATCTTGTTTATAGAGACAGGGTCTCACTAAATTGCTGAGGCTGGCTTTGAACTCACGGTCCTCCTGCCTCAGTCTCCAGAACCACTGAGATTACAGGTGTGTGCCACTGTGCCGTGCAATAGTCTAGGATTCTTGACAATTTAAAAAAATATATAATTTCAGTTCCAGGGCTTACCATTCATTTCATTAGCATTATTTCAAATTACATAATCCAAAATACCATGGGTGTGTGACAGCTCTCTTATGTTTTCTCTATAGCTACCATACGTGGATACAGAGTCATAGGAAAGTCCAGGAAGTCTGCATAAGTAATTAGAAAGAGGGATAGCCTCAGAAGAGGGGGTTTATGTTGTCTTAAGGAGACTTTAAATTTATCTGCAAATATTTACTTTTTTTCCACAGGGAAGCTGGCGATGTATCTCAGTGGTAAATCACTTGCCAAATTATAGTCAATTCTTATTTATGAAATGTCATGGTCTAAGGTAGCACAGCATAGTAATCCTGCCCCCCAAAAGTGGGCATTCGCTCACATTTTCAAAGAGGATTCCAAGCTGGGGCAGAGCAAAGGACCTTAACCAAGGTCACCCGGTGCCCTGCGCTGTAGGTGTGGAATTGACTATGTGCCAACGTGGTATCAGGGAGACAGAACAGGTTTGTGTGTGTGTTTGCACAAAGTGTTTTTAAAAATGTCTAGGAGACAGTTCTACAGAGGGTTAAGGGCTGGAGCTCCACAATCAGGCTGCCTTTCCTATCAGACCTCAATTCTCCAGCTCTTGGGACAAGCCATTGTGCCCCAGTTTCCTCCCACTTTCCTGGAAGGAGTGTGAACTAAGTGAGCAATGCCTGGCAGAAAGCCTCGGCAGTTAGCCTAGCCACTAGAGTACCACGGGCTCAGGATTTTTCTGTTAAAAAATTAGACCATTCACATTCCTCTGTAACTTGCCTTCCTTCATCTACAATATGTCATGGACATCTGCCCACACTGGTAATACAGGACTGTAACTTGTTCTAATTGGTGGTAAATATTCAATAGCCCAGATGTACATACATTATTTGACTGGTCTATAGTATTGGAATTTAGCCTTCAGTTAATGCTGAAGGCTACAAACTCCAGTTTACAAAGGCAAATATAAAAAGGCAGCCCATCGAGACTGAGCCAAAGTCTCAGTTCTTTCTTTTCCGAGCATGTGACACAAAAAGGTGCCTTGTCTTCATGTACCTTTTCTTCCTGGGGTGAGGAGAAGGGAGCTGTTGTGAGAACTCACTGAATAGAGAAAACATAAGCACTAATCATGTATATTATTATGATTATTGTTCCTTATTGTGCTCTTTTTTTCTAGTAGATAAGTTGCAAGAAGAGGGTTTAGTGGATCAAAGTTTATATCCATTTTTTAATTTTAATTAATCCTGTTAGAATTCTTTCAGAATGCTATTTTGCCATCTCTCTATTTCTTGTCAGGTCATGGTTGGACCTAGAAGCTTGATCAGATGGAACTTGGATGATTTGATGAGAATAGTCATAATGGTTCTGCATAACACATCAGGAGACACAGGCTATTTGTCCCAACTTTACTGATGTGAAAATTGGCCAGAAAGTGCAGGTTTTATTGTCAGCCTGCCCATCTATTATAAATGAGGAGCATAGAGAAATAAATTTTTAAAAAGTAATAAGTAAGCCCTCAACCAATTCAAGAATGTAGAGAATTTTACAGGGAAAATTATCTAATACTTCAACAAATAAATGTACAAAATAGTAGAAATGGGAGGTAAAAAATGGTCACTAAAAGAGAATGAAGACATGGGTTATAGGCAATGTCTGGAATTTATTTAGATCCTGACTTCATGTACAATTACACTTTGAGACATTTGGAGAAATTTGAACTTTATAGATACGGTTAAGAATAAATGAAGTTATACAGAAAATTATAGAGCAATATTGAAAGTCATGAAAAGATACTGTCTTCTCATAAACACAATCTATGCTCATGAGTTAGAAGAGTCAATATTTTAAAGATGCGAATTTCCCTACATTGATCTATAAATTCAATATCATCACAAGGGAAAGCTCAGTCATATTTTAAGATAAGGAGAAGTTAAAATTAAT